GAAATTTACGACCATTTATTTGGCATGCACTGTTGAAGGCCCCTGGAGTGGATGGCCTTTCATGCAGCATTTTTCCAGAACTAATGGGAGACTGTAGGTAAGTCGATATGTGCAATGATCAACAAGACCCTTATTATTTTTATCCCTAAAGTTGTTATATCAGAGACTATTAAAGAATTTCGTCCGATCAGCTTATTAACGATATTATATAAAATCGTTACTAAACTCATTGCCAATAGACTCAAGCACCTAATGCTTTTTTGGTTTGCCCTACCCAAGCTAACTTTGTAGCCAGTAGGAATATCATGGATAACATTGTTATTGCCCAAGAAGTGGTTCACTCTATGCGACATATGCGGGGGAAAGACAAGTGGATCATTAAGGTGGACTTAAAAAAAGCTTATGATCGTATCTGTTGGGAATATGTAGATAACACTTTACTTGATGTTGGTCTCCCTCCTAACCTTATCAGAATCGTCATGTGGTGTATCTCCTCTTGTTCTACTCAATTGTTATGGAACGGCTATCTCACCCAGGAGTTCCGGCCTACTAAAGGCACTCGACAAGGGGACTCGCTTTCACCCTACATATTTGTGTTATACATGGAACGACTATCCCATTACATCAACACCCGGGTAAGAAATGGTACGTGGAAGTCGATCTACCTTGGTAAGAAGGGTCCTGCCCTCTCATACCTCTTCTTTGCGAATGACCAAGTACTCCTTAGAAAAGCCACTAAAGACCAAACTCAGGCTATAAAAGAAGTCTTAGAGGATTTTTGTGTCAGCTCAGGCCACAAAGTGAGTGCGACAAAAACCACAAAGTGAGTGCGACCAAAACCACAAAGTGAGTGCGACCAAAACACTTACTTTCTTTTCTCGCAATGTTACCACGAGTGAGGCTAGCTGTCTTAGTAAGATGTTTGGGTTTCAAGTCTCCAATAATCTTGATAAGTATTTAGGAGTTCCCTTGCTACATGAAAGAGTTAACAAAAATACTTATCATTAGATCCTTGAGAAAATTAACCAAAAGCTATCTGGCTGGAACGCTCACCTTCTTTCCTTTGCAAGGCTTTTAACTTTGGTCAAGTCCATCCTCATGACAATCCCCACTTATGTTATGCAAACTATGGCCTTGCCTAAATCCCTATGCGATCATATTGAAGCGGTGATCAGGAAGTTTATTTGGGGTCAGGGGAGTGACAACTGGAAAACTAGCCTTGTCAATTGGACTAACATGTGTATACCTTACGATACTAAGGGGAACGAACTTCGATCTGTCCATAAGAAAAACCAAGCTTTCTTAATGAAATTGGGTTTTTCTATGGTTGTTAAGCCTGATCTATTATGGATCCAGGTCCTCACCCACAAGTACAGATGATCTGACTTATCACAGAGTTACAAGCCGACAGGACCAATATCTTATCTTTGGTGCAACCTTAACCATCTTTGGACAGACATTCGTATGGGCATCAAATGGTAAATTGAATTGGGAAAAAATATTAGGTTTTGGGAAGACTGCTGGTTGGGGGACCTGGGGCCACTTAAACTTTTGGCTTTCACACCTATTGCTGAACATGATCTCCATAGATGTGTCAAAGATTACGTGGTGTCGTCTGACCAATGAAACTCAGAGGCCTTGCACCGGGTGTTGCCGATGGACACGCTGCTCTAGATGGCTGCAATACCAACCCCTAGAGATGACATTATCCTAGACTCCTGCTTTTGGGGTACGACGAGCTCTGGATGTTTCTCTGTTAGCTCGACTTATGCCCTCCTGGAGAGTGATCATTGGCACCCGGAAGATAGGAATTGGAGATATATTTGACGTTGACTAGGTGCTCAACAGGTGCGTATGTTCCTTTGGTTAGTTGCTAAGGGAAAGATCTTGACGAATTGGGAGAGATACCGATGTCACATGTCCTCTACTACGGAGTGCAGTAGGTGTGGAGACCCTATTAAGGATGTGGATCATGTCCTCGGTAATTGTAGCGTGGCTAAACTGCTGTGGTTAAAGATCATATCTGCTGAAGCCCATTCAACTTTTTTTTGTGGTACTGTTGACGAGTGGTTTGTGCTGAACCTCAAAAACAATTACCCCTAGTGCAAGACAGTTTAGGATTGGAGAGTGACCTTTGGCCTTACTTGCTGGAACCTGTGGAACCATAGGAATAAGTTTGTTTTCTAAGAGAGTAAGAGTAGAATCGATGAGCTTGCTAAGGATCACACCCTCATGATTGATTATACTTTTATGACTAATAATATGAATATTTATTTTTTTAGGTATGGCGCACAAGTCAGAAGAACTTGTAACTTGGCAGAAACCTCCCAGGGGTTGGTGGAAGGTGAACATTGATGGTGCTTATCGTGCGGCTACCAACCTCGCTTGCTGTGGCAGACTTATTAGGGATGAGGATGGTGCCTGCCTGAGAAGCTTCAACAGGAAAATTGACAAATGTTCTGTGCTTCAAGCCGAACTTTGGGGTGCTTTCAATGACTTTCAATTCGCTTGGCATGCTGGGTTCCGTCGTATTATCTTGTAAATGGATAACGTTTTAGCGGTGCAGTTACTTACTAAGAAGGATTATGACGCTAATGCGCATGCCGCATTCGTTCGTGAGATCAAACACTTGTTATTGTAGGACTGACAGGTTAGGATCCAACATGTTTATCGCAAAAGAAATAGATGCGTTGATTGGTTGGCAAATGTCGGCTTCTCTCTACCAATGAGTCTTTATTCTCATATTCAAGTGTCAAATGATCTCCAACAGCTCTTTACTGACGATATGGGTGTCTCATGACTTCAGAACGATCTCTTAATTTTCTTTTGGATTTTGCCTATCATTATACTAAAAAAAAGAATATACATATATGTTATGTAATATATATCAATGGATATTGAATTGTGAATATAAAAGTAATATAATTATTTTTTATTAGACCACATAAAATATGAATCTCGAAAATATCAATAGACACAAAAGATGAAAGACAAAAAAAATTAAATCATTTTTATTCGAATCAAATTAATGAATAATCATGGAGACTAGTTAATGAGGTTTAAAGTGGATTAAAATTAATTCTTTCTTCTTCGTCAATTCTTGTTGAAATGAAAAAAATTTAAGCGTACGTTTAAGATTTTCTCAGACCGCTGTGTACAGTACTTATGCGTAGTGTGTACGGAGATGTAGTAACAAGAAGTAATAACATGTGGGCAAGTAAGCTCCAATTCTGCAGAAGCACTCTAGCAATAGCCAACCCTATCTACTTCTCCAATCCTACCCGTCCCTGTTTCCTGCTCCTACCACCATTACACATCCTCAATAGAGCAACTACTGCCACCGCCGCAGCCATGGCAACCGCAGCAGCCGGCAATAATGGCCAGACACAGGAGCAAAAAGATATATTGGAATCCATCTTCAGGCAAAAGCGAATTCTCCGATCCAAAGTCCGCAAGACTCTTAGATCCATGAACCCCTCCCTCAAATCCCTAGAAGGTTTTCTGGTATTTCATAGTTGGTTTTGATGACCGTAATTCTTTTCCATTTTGTAAACAATCAAGTTGTTTTTTTATTTTTCAGACAATGCAATCCAAACTATTGTTTTAGGATCTCCTTGGTTTCAGTCTTGCCGGAGGTTGTGCGCGTATATAAGTTGCAGTTCTTTGCATGAAGTTGATACCTCAAAACTCTTATCACAAATTCTTCAAAGTCCAGTTTCAGGTGTTTGCCGCTCCCTGCTTCAATTAACTCTGTAATTTCTTACTTGTTTTGTTATATTGGATAAATGACAGTTGAGCCTGATTCATGGAGGCAGCAGAATAAGCCTAATCGAAATACAGCTTTCTCTTGTAGGCATTCTATGCGTAGGATTTGGCATTTCCTATTTTAAGTACTTTATCATCTGTAACATGTTTTGTTATATATAATCATGAGTTCAGAATTTTAACTTGTGGAGGCATGGAAGGATTCTGATCAAAAGCTTTTCCTTAGGAGTTCTATGCATAGGATTAGTTTATAAGATTGTTAATTTTAACACTCTCTGTTACAAGATTGTTTAGTGATTTTTTGTTTATTGAAAATATTTTTGCACCATTTGGAAACCGAATGCACGGTGTATGCTTTATTTATTGTTCATTTGGTAATCTTAGCAGAAGGGAATGGTCAGTTGGGGAAGAAGAAGCTTTATGTTCCCCGTGTGGAGGACAAAAATAGTAACATGCAGATGCTTCACATATCTCGCATTGATGATCTGATTGCAAATTCTATGAATATCCTAGAGCCAGCGCCAGTGGATGCTGATGGAAATGAGCGTGAAGATGGTACATTCTTATTGCATTTGCCTCATTCTTTTCATGACGTGGGTTATTTTCTCTCCTCTCCTATTCAACATAGAAAACCATCATTGTGTAGTGGATGGATATGTTGTATTCTGCAATTTGCATAATGATCCATATCTGTTGCACTATCTCAAGAAAATTCTTGGACGATATAACTCTATCACACAAACATAGTCAGGGACTTGTTCCTGAAAAAGGTAGATTATATAAAGGTCTAAGTTTTGGGTACACATATAACTGGTTCTATGGATTTTAAATAGAACAATCTAGTAATTGTATAAAACCTATTAAGTTCAGTTTCTTAATAGATGTTAAACGATAGTTTAATATCTATCACATGATCATGTAATCAAATAATGAGAACAGGAACATAATAAATAAGTTCTTGAGAAAATATAGAAAAAGTTGTGATTTTAGTTAATATAGTGAAAAAAACAACAGCTAGAGTATAAGGACACCGAGTATTTACATAATGTCTTTTCAAAACATTTCTAATAGTAAAATGATGAAAAGAACTATGTTGTTTTTTGTTTTTAAATTGTTGTCTCAATTGTAATTATATCCAATAACTTTTGTGCAACGCCCTTGAAGGATATATCCGAGTTTTCCTCTCAAAGAATTTTAGAAAAAGGACAAACTCAAAATTTGTATGTTGAAGCTTCTCTGATGGAAGAACTACTGTTCTTTAATGTTAGCATTATTTTCTGTTTGCTGAATATATGATTTGAGAAGTTTTTTCTGGCCTTCTGTCATGAGTATTAAGCAGCTCTCTTTATGCAGTAATGCAAGCAGATGAACCAGTTGATTTGTTTGTATTACCTGGTAAATCTTCCTTCTTTCCTTACATGTTTCCTTCTGTTTTCTTATTATCTTTTTTCTTAGTGTTCACCATCTGAAGTGCAATCTAATGTCTTAGAAACTAATATTTTAGCAAGTCCATTTTATCTTCCTAATATTGGCAGGACTTGCATTTGACACATCAGGAAGACGCATGGGTCGAGGTGGAGGGTAAGTTCCTAAACCCTTTCAGAATTTAAATTCTTGTACAACTGCTGGTTCTCTAGGGATGCAAAAAATTTTCAAAACGCAGGCACGTGTGTATTATAGTCTGGTATCTGTTCAATTGTGGCCTGGGATTATATCTCTGTATCTTATTAATAAGGCAGTAACTATTGGTTGAAATGCTTGTTCATAGTGATTTTGCAACAGTCCTCTTTGTCCATGAGATAATTAGTAAATCCAATAGTATAGGATTATTAGCTCGCATGGTCGAATGTCTGTCTGGTGGCAGTACCTTAATTTCTAATTTAATGGCCTTTTCTTGCCTTGATCTGCTCATCTCCTTGTTTACATGTTGTGATGAAATCTCAAAAGCTACTATGATACTTTCTTGACAAGATACCAACAACAAGCGAAGGAGAGGAATTGGAGACAACCCCTTCTTGGTATAAATCAAGTTTTACCTCTTTCTCTAATACAGAATAGAAACTAGATGTCAGCACCATTATTATCCTCAGATTTTCTAATTAATTGTATTTAGATAAAGCATGCTCTTTTTCTGCAGTTGCACTGTCATATTCTTTACAGATCTTGGATAGAGGAATTATACCAATTACTCCATATGATGTCCCAGTGGACGCTATCGTAACCTCATCCGGAATTACTCCCATTAGCCCAGTTGCTATAGAGAGGTAAGAACATGTAAACCTCCCTCTTCTTTTCTTCTCTCTTGATTTGGTGTTACATGCTAGTCACATAATGAATGAGTTCCACATTTACAGAAGGAAACTTTGACCTCAAAATTGGAACTCTCTGGTTCGCCTACAAGCCTTACTGTCTTAAAATTGTTATATTGTGGGATGTCCTTGAGAGAGACGATGAGAAGTTGTCAATGGCTACAGCCTTTGCTGTGACTTAATGCCGATGATACTTACTAGCATTGGTTGACAACAGTGATATATTTTCAGTCGCCTAAAGTTTTACATATAGCTCCTTTTAAAATAGCAGAAGGTTTAACTTTGCTTGTAGATTGGGATACTGCCGCCTATGTTGCTTGCAAATAAAACCTCCCTGGATTAGAGTAAAAAATACTTCATTCTGCCTAAATTCTGGGTCAAAACTCCCAAGTTGGAGAATTTATTATTCTAGGTTTCATGTGTTGACTTCCTAGTATTATGTGACTAAGATTGATTAATGATCCAAATTAATTTTTAAGCTACTTCTATTTTTAACTCAAATTAGGTATTTTTTGTAATTTACTCATTAACAAGTAAAAATTTATATCTTGTGGAATTAAATTCATAAGTGAATCCACTCAAATAATTATTAAATATTTGTGAAATTAAATTTATATCACGCAAATGACACATGATGTCCATGTAAACTCACTTAAAAAGGGTTGCATCTGTACTCTAGAAACCAACACAGGAAAGAAGCAATCTCTGTCTGGAGGTGAACTTGGCGACAATCCCCTCCTGCTGCAATGTCTACGAGTAAGATGTCTCCGGCTCTCTCTACCACTCAACTCATGCGACTTAGATGCTATATTTCTTTAGGTTCACATAAATTAAAACAAATGACATTATAGTTTTATTTGATGGTATTAATTTTTTTTAATTGCAAAAAAGTAAATTATATATTTTTAAAAATTAAGAATTAATTTAAATATAAAAAGAGTACAATTTGAATATTTTTTAAAAATTGAGAATGGAATCAGCCATTTTAACCACTTAAAAAAATCGCAAGTGTCGTTATCTTGAGGCAAGACAGTTTACTAGGTCTGCACATTCTGTAATTTCCTCTTCTAAAAGTCAACTAATCAAGTTCAAAGACACCTTTGCCTGGTTTGCAAGTATTTTGTTGGCTATAAACACCATTCTTGTAGGATTTGACTAACCAGAATCTTATAAAGAGCACCATAATCTTCAAAGCATACACCAACACACACTTTTCAATCATGAAATCTCCATCCACCTTCCTCCCCTACTTTTGTTGCCTCACTTTACTGTTGCTTCTTCCTTTCTGTGGCCGAGCTGCTGACTCTGATTCATTACAGGACTTCTGCGTTGCTGATTTTAAATCCTCCATCATCGTTAATGGCTTTCCTTGCAAACCAGTTTCTCAAGTAACTTCAGATGATTTCTTCTTTGATGGTTTTAGCAAACCGGTTAAACCAAACCAGTTTGGCATAGCAGGAATTGCAGGTAATGTTCTTGCATTTCCAGCGTTGAACACATTGGGAATATCAATGAACAGAGTAGAATTTTCTCCTCAAGGACTCAACCCACCACACTCACATCCTCGCGCAGCAGAAGTTGGGGTTGTTATCCAAGGAGAGCTCCTTGTAGGGTTCCTAACAACCAGCAATGTATTCCACTCAAAAGTTTTGAAGGCAGGGCATATGTTTGTGGTACCTCCAGGTCTGATTCACTTCCAGATGAATGTGGGTAAAGGAAGGGCTCTTGCCTTCACAGCTTTCAACAGCCAATTGCCAGGTGTTGCAGCTAGCTCCTCTATCTTCAATTCGACACCTCCAATTCCTAACAAAGTATTAACCAAGGCCTTCCATGTAACGGATGATGTTATCAACATCATAAAATCTAAGTCTGCACACCCTTAGTTCCACAATGTATAAGCATCTAATAATGCATGGTATTGTTCCGATCTCATGCTTTGGTATTTTAAGTGCTATTAATTGTGATCCATGAAACTAGAAAGCTTACTCGTGAAAAAAGAGTTTATTATGTTCTACATACCCTTATAATTTGGTATAATTATGTTAATCACAAGTTCTAGGAATGTAAGTCTGTACCATAGGTGTGGGCTTGTAGTGGTTTACAATCCAAAACAATGTATATTAATGTTCGACACTGTAATGATACGAGGAAAATAGATTGAAGAAATTCTAGAAAAGCACAAACTACACCCACTCTGAATGACCTTGTTCCGGAACTGATACAATGGGATAAGGTCGGATAATACACAAGGATTAGATGCATTTTCTACAAATGATGAGATATTACAAATTTAAGAAAGAAAAAGGTCTACAAATGGGTAAGACATGCCTGCACCAGAAGTGAAGACCAATAACAAATTTCTTCTTCGCCTAAAGATGACAGATACACACACTCTTGCTCAGCCTGGTTTATGAATGGCAATTGACAGTCCCCTAAAACTATGCTGCTCTTTCAAAAGTCCCACCAACCTGCATGTGCAGCCATTCAGATTCAGATCCTTGAGCATATTCCCTGGTTGGTTGAGGGCCAAATAGCATTCCGCTAGCATCAAATGGCTGTGAACCAAGCTAAAACAACAGATCAACCAGTTAGAAAAATAATGATAAGACACAGACCTGCTGCACATTCTAAAGAACTGATTGGAAAGAGGAAAACAAACCAGTCATTTAAGAAATATAGACAACAATATCTATATGAAAATAAAAGATCAAACATGAGTGCCTTTATCTTCATCACAGGAAACCTCAGAATGGCCAAACTTATAAGTGAGATCATAAGGAAAAATATAAGATATTTGTGATGATTGGTGTGGTGTAAGAATTGATGATGCCAAGACAAAAAAATGTCATGACAAATCAAAAAAGAGGAACCAATTGCTGAACAAGAGAAGTTTGCTTGACAGGCCATAACGTGAACCAGTGAGTCATCAATGAACAGATGCTGGGAAACAATAGAAGATGAAGGGACTAAACATAAAAACAATGATATAAAATCAAGCATAAGTTTTCCTTCAATGGTCTACTATAGTAGACATCCAACAGTATATTGGATGTTCCCAAAGTAAAAGAAACAGAAAATTTCCCAAGTCTACTCATCAATCATAAAAGACAGAAAATGTGCCATTATGCATTGATTCCTTAATCTAAACATGCATCTCCTATCTGTTTTTTTATGAAAACAAAGCCGAAGACTGAAATGTATAAGTAATTCGTAATAACTGCAGAAAATCAACATGCAACAGAATAAGATTTAACCAAGGATAAAAAAAAAAACAGTAACATGCAACAGAATGAAATCTCAATTTATCAAAGCAGAGGTAGATTTCTTAAGCCAAAAAAGAAGGAACACAATCACATGCCAAATTTCAACAGTGTTGCTTGATAACCATGTTAAAACCCTAGAGATGAGCCTTGCTTCAATTGCAGTATCTTCCCATCCATTAGGGAAGCACCCAAAATAACGAGGTAGAAAACCCTAGGAAAAGCTTTGTAGACATCTCCATTTCAGCCTTTTGGTAAGAGTAAGCCAGTCAAGGAACTATTCTTTTTCTTCCATACAGTCTTATAAATTTTGAATAACCAGTATAGGTAGGACAAGAATACAAGATCAATGTAGCTTCAGCTATTATTCTATGTGGCTAATGGAAACTGAGGAGCCTAAGTGTCCTTTTCGTTCTTACTATTGCACAACAGAACATTGAGATAAGTAATGGTTTCAGTGACACCTAGAGACTGAATAATTTAAAAATTACAATTTGCATTTAGGAAGTTATCATTTCCCTCCAACTTTAAGGAAGGCACAAGTTCTTCAAACTGTCAAAACAAGGAAAAGCAAGTATTTCAATTCTTTCCAAATAAAAAATGTTCAAACTAAAAAGAAGCATAAAAATGATACCATATAGACAATGACAAAGGATCTCAGCCATGGAATGTAAAGCTGCATAATAATTTAAAAAGAAACTCGGACAAGTTTATACGGTCAACCAATATATTCAGACTCACATCTTTAGAATGAAAACCTTCAATTGTTGGGTGCATGTTCATCCTTGAATTAACTGCTTCTAGCTTCATTGATAGGAACTGAGAGATTGAAACAACTCATTAGATATTTAACTCGAAGGCAAGCAAGAAAAAAGAAAATGTAGAGAAAACAGTAACAGCCACACGGGGACTTCATCATACCTCAACCTGACGCTGTAGTGACTGGATGTAATTGATAATCTCATCAAGCACAAGTGCTTTTCCGATAACCTGATCATAAGTACATTTTATCAATATCAGCGAGATAGTACTATCCTACACGAGATTGGCATTAGAAATCATACAAGCCATCACTTGATGCCAACATATCTTTACAAGCACTTCTTCTCAAAAAATATCTATATAAAGGACTAATCCAATAACAGTATCAGAAACAAAGTATTTAAAAAAAAAGAAATAACAAAATATAACATATGTGAGAATCATAAATCTTTTTGCACGTCAGCTTGTCTAGAAATAACCAAAAATCAATGAATACCTTACTACAACCAGGGACCAAATCTTGAAGGATTTTCATCCTCTCACTTATTTTTTCTCTCCGAGCCTGCCAAAAAAAAATGTAAAATAAGATATTCAAAAATTGGAAAATTAATATACTAATAATCTTCACTGCATAAACCAAGATGATAATAACAAAACCCCAAGAAAAGGAGAGAAGTAAACAAAAGAGCTAAAATGCACGATCTAATATCATTTTGAGCCCGGAGTTTGTTGTCTCTATGTGAAAGTATAATTGGCACACGATTGGAAACTGCAAACCAGTAGGATTAAAGCATTACTCTCTCTGCAAGACTATGGCTATCTGTAGCTTGACCCCTTCTTGCTCTCACATGAATATAGTCTTTTGGTGGCTCAGAAGGTTTACTGTTTTGTTCAGGTGGCTTCTTCCCACCTGCAGAACTTGCTTCTACTTCAGCTTTTGAAGCACTGTTTTCACTTTTTGATCCCACAATTTTCATCCGTTTCCCATTTGAATCATTCTGCCACCATGAAAAGTAAGCAATCATAGTCTAAATACAGAGTCAAGTAATAAAATTAAAAATGAAAAAGAATAAAAAAAAGTCCCTTCAAATAGAGAATCAGGACCATCTCTACTCTAACAACACAAATCCTTTCAAATAGATAACCTGAATAGGTTCCACCCTCCTACTCATTAAGTATGAAATTCACACTTCCATAACACAAGACAACAATCTACAAGCTCAATAACCTACTCATTAAGTATTTAAAAAGTAATTTTAACAACCAACGTTGAAGAAACAGAAAAAAAGAAAAATTGTATAGTTCCAAACATAGCCCTTCTTCTTCTTCAAGGTCAACTGTACCATAAAAAACTATTGCCAATCTTCTTCCTTGTTCTCCTCTTAGGAAACACAAGCCACTAACCAGTGTACGCAATCTCTGGTTTGCCGACAGCTGTCCATCCCTTTCTTGAACAACCCTTGATCTTCCCAGAAAGCAAGTTCCCCATCTCTCTAGGCTGAAACCCGCCCTCATACATAGAAGCAGCATGCATCTCTCCTGGCCGCAGGACCCAAGGTAACACTTCAAATTTCCTTCAAATATCTGTCTCCAAATGTCTCTGTATCTCTCTTCTCTGTATACGGGTATTTCCTTTTCTTCTTACTAATAGACTTTGGTAACGAAGAAATGCCGTTTCATTTATACAACATCAATAAAGAAGTGAGTTTTTTGAACTGTGATTGAGTTCAAGAATTACAGTGACTTTAATGATATTGAAGCTCCAAATGTTCAAGACAAGAAAGAACTTATTCTTCCCAACTCATAGGGAGGAGACTAGCTGCCATTCAGTAGCATTGCTTGGTTAACCCAAACAGGGAACCTCTTGAATGATATGATTTTTAGGAGGTCGTGGAAGCATTATAAATAAAGTGGATTTTGTTGTGGTTGTAGATTCAGTGGATAGACTGGGTTCAGGAAAAAGAAAAAGAAGGGACTTTCAAGATTGGAGTATCAGATCTTTGCATCTGGAGAATCTTTACGAGCACTTCAAAATGTTTCTTTGGAGGCGATTCTGGCTTGTTCTCTATCACTGTGTTCATGGATTAGAGAGAGAGAAATTCCAGGATTAGGAAGTAGTGGTGGCTCCAGGAAGTGGAAGTGAAGTTTATATTTCTGGGAGGCTTTTGAGAAGAACCAACAGCTCAACTTAGATGGCTGCCTGAGAACGAAAAAGCTAACAAGTAGTAGCAATTAGCATTGTAGTTGCTGCTGGTGTTTCATGTTTCTAAGTGGTAGTGTTTATGCTGATGTATTAGTGCAAGTTATGTTCCAAATAAATTGAAGTTTGATGAGCTCAAACAAAAAAATTTAGGAGTAAAATGGGTACTGTATGCATATACCTTGGGTAAAATAAGTAATTTATATTTTGATTACCAGCGTTCGTTCTTAGTAATGGCCAAATCTAGTCCAATCATGTTTTTACAATTCCAAGATGTAGTCAATTTCTGTAAAAAAAATTGTAAAATTTAATCATGTTCCTGTAATTTATCCTAATTTTAGGCCAAGCTAGCAAAGAGACCAGGTACTCCTATCGACATGAAAAGAAATTCATTCAAACCAATAGAAAGGAACCTAAAAGAACAG